GAGCAGATGAAGCTACTGGCTGATGAAACCTAGAGCAGATGAAGCTACTGGCTGATGAAACCTAGAGCAGACGTACTATAGCTGATGTAGACTATAGCTAATGTAGACTATAGTTGATGTAAACTATAGCTGATGTAGACTATAGCTGATTTGGACTATAGCTGATGTAAACTATAGCTGATGTAGACTATAGCTGATGTAGACTATAGCTGATGTAGACTATAGCTGATGTAGACTATAGCTGATGTAGACTATAGCTGATGTAGACTATATTCCGCAGCGTGTATCCGATGAAGAAAGACCAGCAATGACTAGAGAGCTAGAAGATCGAACCAATCAGACAAAGACTATGAGACAAAGACTCGGAGACGAAAAGTATGGGACGCAGACTAGAAGACGAAGACTAGGAGACCAAGTCTAGGAGCCGAGTTCCTTCCGCATCGGCAACGTGTGGCATATATGAAGGAAGGAACCCATGTGATAATTATATACGAGATATAGAATCGTAACGAGACACAGGAACCTTAACGAATAGCCAATCAACATCAGCCATGTCCATCTGCCAATGTTAAAAAATAATCCAGGGAGGAGTGATAAAAGGAGGAGGATGAGAAGGAGGGGAAGGGGGAGAAACCCCTCGCGGTAGGAAGCTGGGCATGACTAGAAGGCCGTCAACCCTGGATGGATCTCAAGTAACATAAGAAATCCCAACAAAAAAGATGCGAATCCCCAGAAAGTTTCGATTAAAGGCAAGGCAGACTTGCTAAGAACTTGGTCTGATTATAGCAGTAATCTAATGAATGCGTGTACACGCACAATCCGACAGCTCTCTCAACTCGGGGCGCGCAGACGCGCTTGCTCCAGTACACGCACTCACCCATGTATTTACACGCACCCACGAACGCGCGCGCACGCCCAACCTACAAACACACACATGCACGCACGCACCCACGCAGGCACGCACGCTCGCACGCACACGTAAACACGGGCACCCTAAATAAAGCTGACCCGAGTGACGATAGCGAAATCCAAACACAGTTGTCACGTTCGATGGCGGGGGCCGGGTTGACACTGAGGAGGCACGGGGAGTAAGGGAGTGTGGCGCGCATTCCCGAAGCCTCTCGAACATGCCTCTGCATCATCACACCGTCCCCGAATACAGCATGATCGCGACGACGCGACACATTTCCCTTCTTCTCGTGGTGCTCTC